CAATCAGAAGAGGCGAGCGAGGCAAGTAACTTCATTGTTGCACTCTTGCACTCGATCCGATGCTTGAAATCAGAGAGGACAAGGAAGCCCCCCTCCCGCCGATGCAGCTTGGAGAGAGAGGTTTCATACTTCATCGCTTCAGCAAGAGGTTCGGTGAATAACTAAGGTTGTACAGCGCGCAGATACGTCCCATCAGGTCTCTCGTGGTCTAAGGTAAACCCTACATATAGCGCACTATATCTATGGTCGACACAACGGAGGTCTTGTTACGTGGCGCCAACCCCGTCGCCTCTTGACATCGCCTTATGCACAAGGAGTTCCCTGGCCGTGGCGGTCTTGCTATGTGAACCAATGTCGGATTTTGACATCACACAAAGGCAGTATAACAATTGATTATGATGACAATAGCGATCAGTATTATTGTTATCCTCATCCTCATCATGGTTATCATTATCATCAATATCAGGACTGTCGTGGTTTCCTTACTAAATATATCTATTGTTGCATGAAGTTATCTTATCAATGCTGAAATAATTACTATCAACTGTAATCATAGTATCATTATATTCCCAAATTTCGTTGCTATTATTTATGACATTAGTTATCAGTCCAGTTCATCCTCATGCAACTACTCTCACTCTTTCTCTCTCACTCTCTGTTTCTGTCTGTCTCTCTCTGTTTCTCTCTCTTTCTTTTCACTCCTTTTAATAATAATGAATTACGCCCATCAATTTCGGCAAAACGACACCGCTCTCAACGACCCGCCTCCCTGCTTGTCCTTTCATAAGAATTTAATCAGAAACTTCATAAGAACTAAGCAATTACTTGACTACTTTCTTATGCATTCCAGAGTGGACTCCAGTACTCCTGCTCCCCCAAGAAACTTCAAGTGATGACAACTTCTTAAGACGCGAGAGCTTTTAAACTTCCTATTTAAATTCCAAGGTCGATGTCTTCGTCTGGTGTAGGGTTTGTATTTTTTTTTTGTCTTATTTTTCCTTATTTTTCTTTTCCTCTTTCTCGTTCTTTATACATTTTCCCTTTCACTTTCCTCACTTCCTTCTTCTTTTCCTTTTGTTCTTTTCTTTCACCTTAATGTTATTGATAGTAGTAGCAGCAGCAGCGATAGTAGCGGTAGTGGTCGTAGCAGTAGTAGTAATGATAATAGTAAAAGTGATAGGTATAATGATGATAGTAATGATAATAACCTCATCTTATTATTCTAAAATCTTTTCCAGTTTACTAAAATCTAAACCAAAAAAATCTATCTAACAATTATTAAGAAACAAATTTCTCAAACGTTTTTTCCCGTAATTTGCTTATGGCAGCAAAAAAAAAAAAAAAAAAAAAAAAAAAAAAAAAAAGAACATTACCATTCACAGCGTTATTATTCCATTACAGAGAGTTCACACAAAGGATTACATTACGGGTACCAAGTAGCAGTGTAAAATAGCATTTCTTAACATTATGGTATAGATCGTCTCTTGTGTATTATTGGTATAAAGAAGTGTGTCTTGTGTATCTTTATGGGAGTAAAGAAATATGTCTTGTGTACAATGAGTGTGAAGAGGTATGTCTTGTGTATCATGGGTATAAGAAGCATATCCTGGGTATCATGAGTGGAAATATGTCTTGTGTATTATAAGTGCAAAGAAGTATGTCGTGTATTACGAGTGCAAAAAAGTATGTCTTGTGTATTATGGGTGTAAATAATGTCTTGGGTATTATGGGTGTAAATAATATGTCTTGGGTATTATATGTGTAAAGAAGTGTGTCTTGTGTATTATGGAACTTATTTGAATATGCTTTGACAAATCCGGTTCAAGATATATTTCAGGAAAGAGTAAAGGTATACAAGTATAGGTAAGTATGTAGCAGAGCAAGGAACATCATCACAACGCAAAGTACACAGAAACATGCCAATTATATGAATCAAAAGTAAATAAAGCGAACATATGTGATAACGTACTCAACATGGCGACGGGGAAGTGGATGAGGTAGAGATCCACATAGGAGAGGTTCAGGCGTTCGAGAGATCGGAGCATCCACGCCTCCACTTTGCTCTCATGGAGGCCGGTCGGTGGAAGCTGCGGGGAGATCAGTGAAAAGTCTTGTGGTTTCAGATATAAACTGAAATTATTAAGAGTATATGCGATTATATAACGACTATGTAAACAGACTTACACATGTACACATGATGGGATACACATCCGAACGGACACGCATGCACACAGATAAACACAAAAAACACAAAAAGATATACGATTTCGATCTCAAAACCCATCCCACTACCCCCCCCCCCCCCGCCATTACTCACCACCTTTCCCTTAACCACAATAACCACAAACAAACACCAAGGCATCCCCCCTGCCCTAGTGTTATTCACAAACACATAAATACGTTTCCTCCCTTACCTTATGCCCCTTAATTTCACACAAACACCCTTACCTTCTCTACCTGATATTCATAAACAAAAACTAATGTACAATAGACCTATTACAACCCTTCGCCTCTCCCTCCTCTCTCACCCCCCCCTTCCTCCCTTTCCCTTATTCCCTTCCTACATCATAACTGCATCTCCACACCTCTCTTCACCTCCTCATTATACACCTTCATTTCCCTTCCTTCCTTACCTTACCTTAAAATCCCCCCCCCCCCCGCTTGCCCATTCTCTCTTTGCCTTCGCCCTCACTTGGTCTCACGTTCTCCTGCACTCTCCTTCGTCTCCCTTCCCTTCACCTCTTACTTCGCTTACTTCACATATTACTTCCCTTCCTCAAGCACCTCCACACACCTTCTTCCTACCTTTCCTCGCTTCGCCCTTCCCTCCTTCTCCTTCGCCCTCCCCCCCTCCTCGCCCATCCCTCCTCTCCTTCCTTATCCCGCCCTTCCCTCCTCCCCCTCCTCCCCCGCCCTCCCCTTCTCCCCCTCTTCGCTTCGTCCTTCCCTCCTACCCTTCCTCGCTCGCTCGCCCTTCCCTTCCTTCCCTCCCCCCTTCCTTATCCCGCCCTTCCCCCTCCTCCTATCCCTCTTCCCTCCTCCCCTCCCTCTCCCTTCCTCCTTCCTTCTTACCTTCCCTTCCTCGCCTTCCCTTCCTCCCTCTCCTCGCCACGCCTTCCCTTCCTCGCCCTCCCTTCCTCCCTCTCCTCGCCACGCACCACCTTACCTTCCCTTGCCCTCCACTCCTCCCCTTCCTCCCTCGCCCTCCCCTCCTCCCCCCGCCCTTCCTCCTCCCCCTCCTCCCCGCCCTCCCCTCCTCCCCCTCCTCTCCTCCCCCTCCTCGCCCCCCCCCCCACCTTACCTTCGTGGTCACAAACACCTCCTCCCGCTTGATCTTTCCCGCCGATATCCACTCGCCAAGGACGCTGCCGATCACGTGCTCGTTCTGGTAGAAGGCGGCGGTGTCGAGGTGTCGGTATCCGCACTCCAAGCCGGCCCTGATCGCTCGCCTGGCATCCTCATCCGACATCTGGGTGGGCGGGTATTTCGGGTAGCGGGTATTTCGGGTTAGCGGGTATTTCTGGGGGTGGGTGGGTATTTTGGGTGTGGGTTATTTCGGGTGGGTGGGTATTTGGGTGGGTGGGTATTTCGGGTGGCGGGTATTTTGGGTGGGTGGTAGGGTGGGTATTTCGGGTGGGTGGTATTTCGGGTGGGTGGGTATTTCGGGTGGGTGGGTATTTCGGGTGGGTGGGTATTTTGGTGGGTGGGAATTTCGGTGGGCGGTATTTTGGGTGGGGGTAGGTATTTGGGTGGGTGGGTATTTTTTGGGTGGGTTTTCGGGGGGTGGGTATTGGTTCGGGGTGGGGGGTATTTCGGGTGGGCGGGTATTTCGGGTGGGGGTATTTCGGTGGGTGGTATTTCGGGTGGGGGGTATTTGGGTGGGTGGGTATTTCGGGTTAGGTAGTGGGTGGTATTTCGGGTTTCGGGTGGGTGGGTATGGGTTTCGGGTTAGCGGGTATTTCGGGTGGGCGGGTATTTCGGGTGTGTCGGGTATTTGAGTGGGTGGGTATTTTGGCGTGGGCGGGTATTTCGGGTGGGTGGGTATTGGGGTGGGTCGGGTGTGGTATTTCGGTGGGTGGTATTTTTAGGGGTATTTCGGTGGGGGGTATTCGGGTTTCGGGTATGGGTGGGTGGGGTATTTTGGGTGGGCGGGTATTTCGGGTGGTGGGTATTTTGGTGGGTGGTATTTCGGCGGTGGGGGTATTGGGTGGGTGGGTATTTTGTGTGTGTGTGTGTGGGGGGGGGGGAGGTAACAGATGTAGGGTTAGTTCTGGGTGCGGTTGTGGGTGTTAGGATGTGTGTGTGTGTGTGTGTGTGTGTGTGTGTGTTGTGTGTGTGTGTGTGTGTGTGTGTGTGTGCGTTGTGTGTGCGTGTGCGTGTGCGTGTGCGTGTGCGTGTGCGTGTGCGTGTGCGTGCGTGTCTGCGTATGTCTGCGTGTGTGTGCGCGTGTGTACATACATACAAACATAACTTATAAATGGCTGCAACTAGCGGGACCATAATAGATATTCTGCTAATACGAAATTCACTAAGAAATCTGTTTCTTCTTGCAAAACGTATCGCTTGTCAAAGTCCGGATTCTGAAACTTTTTTTTTTTTCGTTAATGTTGCAAAGGTGAAATCTGGTTTCGTTAATATTGCAAATGTGATTTTCGTTTCTCTACTGTTCTTCCGAAAATCTTAGATATTTTATAGACGAATCAACACATTTTCAAATCAATTTCTTCGTATTTAATGTATTTGAAAAAAAAAAAAAATATTATTAACAAAAAAAGAGGAAGAAAAGATAGACAAGATGAGGAAAGAGAAGGAGGAAGAGGAGGAGGAAGAGGAGGAGGAGGAGGTGCAGGAGGAAGAGGAGGAGAGGAAGGTGGAGGAGAAGAAGAAGAGGGAGAGGAGGAATAGGAAGGGGAGGAGGAAGAAGAGGAGAGGAAGAGGGGAGGAGGAGGAAGAGGAGGAGGAGGAGAAGAGGAGGAGGAGGAGAAGAAGAAGAAGGAGGT